TATCGAAAATATCTTTTAACACATGTTTGTATTAATAAGTATTATGTTCAAATACAATGCCCTACATTGTATATTAATTTTCTAACAATTTAAATGATCAATTATATATGAAATATTAAAATATTAAATAAAATTCAGCTATTTCAATTCAGTAAATATTCATTGGGGATCTACCATTTAAAAACAAAACCAAAACCAAGAATGACAACATCACAATATTTTTTTTAAAAACTTGCCTACATTAGAACAAGCATAGAATGGACCAAATCTCACATCACTTTTTGACATGAAAGGAACTAGATCTTAAATTTTCACCTTTACAATCAATAAAATAAAGATAGTTACATATAATATATTTAGGAATATTGATGATATTAGAGTATCCCAACTTTTTTTTGATCCTTGGCTTTAAGTAATCCTTTGAATATTACATATTTAATATGGAAGGAAATGAATTGTAGAATAAATTCACATAAGAATTAAATATATTTATTTTAACAGGATAATATATTTATTTGTCAAATATTACTGAAACCCTATTGATGTTTCTCACACCACAGGTTGAAAATTCCAAGAGTATATTATTTATAGAAAGTCCACTCTTTGAATAAAGAACAATAATATAAACTTCTACACTAGTTGTGTTTTTGTTTGTTTGCTTTTTTGTTTTGTTTTGTTTTTCTTCCGGGATCATAGAACATTCTTGCTATTAGTACCTGCAGATACTGGCCGTTAATGAATTGGACAGCTTGCTTCAGTTTACCTGAAAAGTGGCTGAATCCCAACAGGAGTAAGCCACCTAGTGGTGGTCTGATTATCACATGCTGAAGAGCTTGCTCAAGAAACATACAGCAAAGATCCAGTAGGAGTCTTCCCATAAATTAACTAAGGAAATTTTATTGATAATAGAGACTTGATGAGAATTGTTGAATATTGTGCCTTAAAAATATTTAGGGACCACTTTGCATCCCTCCATTACCCTATATAATTTAACCTCCCACTGCCACTAAAATGGTACCCAAATCATTTCACTGAAAATTTTAAAGAATTTAAATCATATTTTCCTATTTATGCTTAAATCACTTTAGAATATCTGAGTAAGACAGCAAGCCCGCCCAAGGTGTATAACCATTACAGTGGAGGCTAAGAGAAAAATCCTACAAAGGAAGGAAACCCCTGTGGTTCCCATCCCTTTACCTCTATCTCCTTCCCTTCCTCTTAAAACTACAAAAAGTACATGGATCACCCAGTCAAATGTTTAAATACAATTGTGAATCTAATCTGAAAATCCTAAATGTAAGTGATTTTCCTTATCAATATGCTTTTTCTTCCTTGTCTCAAACTTTAATGACTCCAAATTTCTCTCAGAAACAAAGGCCCCAACAGGGAAAGAAGGAAGGAAAGAAGGAAGAAAGGAAAGAATAGAAAGAGGATATGAGGGAGGAAGGAAGGGAGGGAAGAAAGAAAGAAAGAGAGGAAGAGAAGAAAGTGAGGGAGAAAGAAAGAAAAAGAGAAGGAAGAAGAAACATCAAAAAAGGCATTATTGAAAGAAAATACACTGATCATGTTTTGACAATAACTACCATAACTAATGGGAAACTCATAGGATCCACTGATAACCTCAGAATATAAAGAGAACATCAAAAATAGTACCCAATATAATGGGAGGACATTCAGGTACAAACATAAGAAAACAGGAACAAGAATGACAGAGGATAAATACACATCGATGTGCTGCCATATGATTCCTTGGAGGGAACACTGATGAGGTCACAGAAGTACTAGACCATTTGAGCATTTCACATTGTGTTGTATCAAGCTAGGGACAACAATAATTAAAAGAATTTTTAAAATATTTTATCTAATAGAAGAATTTACATGCTGTATTATTTTATATGATACTTCTCTATCAATCAACCAACAAGTATTTATAAGTGTCTGGTATAGTGAAAAGAGCTAGCCAGGAAAAATGCCCCTAACATATATAGGTTGTGTCAGTCTGGGTAAGTAACTTATTTTGCCTCTTAGTTTCTTAAGACCGCAGATTATCAAAGGTGCCAAATATAACTGGTAGAGGAAGTTTCCATAAAATAGTAAAATCACATGGTAGACCCTATGCCATATGATGTTCCAGGCACTATATTGAGTACAAAGAATAAAGCAATAACAATTCTTGCCCTTAAAAAGATAACTTTCTAATGAGTGAATAAAGCTAGGTGAGTAGTAAAAACAGTGCTGAACTTAGAGCCAAAAAGTCTCAAATTAAAATCTTGCCTCAGCCTCTTACTAGCTGTGTTACCCTGAACAAGTCATTTAACCCCTCTCAGTGTCAGTTTCCTCCTTTCTAAAATGAAGCTAATAATAACACTCATCTGACAAGGTTGTTATAAGGATTACATAAACTGTCACACAAAGAAAGCATTTTGCAAAGCTTGAAACTATACAAATGCTAGTTACAATTTTATGTGAAAAAAGTATATTATATGGAATGTACATATAATATGTTAGATTTATAAATATTGTATAAGATGCATGAAGAATAAATGGAATCTTAGAAAGGAAGACGTAACAGCTGAGGGAACCAGGAAAGGATTCCTGTGGAAGGTGGAACTTCAGTTAAGTCTTGAAGAAAGCCAGAGATTCTAAAAAGTAAGGTGCGGCAAGAGGTAAGTGACAATCAGTACAAGGTTCTTGAGATGTAGATGGAGTATCATTTGCAAGGAACAAGCAATCTAACATAGTGAGATCATAGACTGCATAAAAGGGAGCAATTTCTAAGAAGATTGGAAATGTGGGAATGAAAAGTTTTGAACACCCAACAGAAGAATTTATATTTGATCCCATGTTAATAGGGAGCCATTGAAGTTTACTGAGTAAGGAAGTGATGTGGTCAGATAATGGTTTATGAAAAATCACTTTGGCAACTGAGTAGATAGACTAAAAAGAAGAGAGACTTGAGGCAGAAAGAAAAGTAATTGTTATAGGGGAGGCATTAGGTGAGGAGGGCATGAACTAGAGTTTATGACTCAGTAGAGAAAAGGACATGTACTGGAGACAAGTTATGGAGTTAGAAAAGATAAGATTTAGAAATTGATTGAATGGGTAGAGTAATTGAAGTCTTGGAACTCATGTATATTTTCTAAGGCAAAAATAATAGCAGATGATATTTAAGTTCACTTATTTTATGTTATTTTAAGTTCACTTTATAACCAGTGATTTTAATCCTGTGGTGTGGGGGGGAGGGGATTCCAGGTAAAGAAATAAGGACTCTGAGGCAAGATCTCTAGCAACTATATTGATTAATACTTGACTTTAGAAAAAATGTATCATGAGGGAAGAATATGAACAAACTTTTTTTTAAAAAGTCATGTCTTGCAATTTAAATTTACTTGCATTTTAATGGTATGAATAATCAGTTCACCACCATACAATCTACATTATAGATTTAGGAATATAAACTTGGTTTCTAAATTTCAAAATAGTTTTAATCTTTCCAGTTTTATAGAATGCTGTATTATAGAAGATAAAATATCTCAAGGAACAATGAGATGCTTTAAAAAGAATCATCTTCTTTGGAAAAGGAAAGGGAAGTAAAGGACATTCATTTTGAAAATGGAATACAATAAGTATGGTGGATATTGGGAGGCAGTGGATGTAAACTCATGAGTAAAAGAAAGTGTACAATATCTACACAGCACTTGATACATATATTTGAGTGATTAAAAAATAATCACTAATGAGTAGGAGATTCATGTTATTAGTGACCAATCAACAAGAAGTTAGAGACTCTCAAAAAATAAAACAAAAGAAAAATCATTAAAAAAAAGCTGTTGTTAGGGATCCCTCCCCATTTTAATCTTTCCTAATAAGATGATATACCAAATAGACTAAATTAGTTATCAGTTATAGAAAGCCCAACTAGGGCAAAAAATGCATTAGTATTAGGTGGTAAATGAATTAAAATACTGCATGGTGAAGAAAACAAGTTGGAAAACTTGGACAAGAAAGATAACCAAAAAAAAAATGTCTGCATATGCCAAGATCACAAATAAATAGCACAAAATAAATCAATGCTCTGTTGGTGAAGCTGCCAAAGTGAGTGAGTGGTAGACTATGGTTTCCATTTTAAGTATCTCAATGACCCATTTTTTAGTGAAACTAAAAAAACAGTTTTAATCTCCCTTTTTGTTTATTTTTCCCAGAGAAATAAGACTGCATTGATTCCTTACTAATCTTCCTTTTCTTGGTAATTTGGACATCAAGTTGAAGTTCCCATACTTAACCTGATATGAGTACAAAGATGCCATATGTTACACATGGAGCTTTATAGCTTCATAACTGCCAGGCGGCTCTTGTCTTTGAAAATACTTTTTTGTTTATTTGCTTTACTGAACTCAGATGAATAAAATAATTTTTACTTACACTAAAAGATTACTAAATATAAAAAAAATTCTACTTTTCTTGCAAACAATGGAGTCAAGCAACATAAAATCTGTCACACCCTCATAAAAAACTTCAATCCTTACATGACAGTTTTGGGAATTTTCTGAAAGTACAGAAAACAAAAGATCTTTGCAATATGAGCCAGAAAATATAATGAACATTTCATAGATTTATTTTTCAATATGCATGATAATAAACATTTCCATTTCAGGAAAAGTATGAACATTATTATGCTCATTGTTTGCTTGTGGGGTGATCTGTTTTTATTTGCTTTTTTCAATAATTATTTGATCACTACCTACACATGATTTATTGATTCTGATAGCACACATAAAAGACAAATGAGTTGAGAGTCTATGTTTTCCTGTTGTACCACTGCTTTGGGGAATATCTGAGAATAATCATTCTAATGTGCTAGAGGACACATTGCTGTCAATTCGTCATTAAGGATATTAAAGCCAGTGTGTTTGAAGCTAATTACCATACCTGAAATCTGAAGTAGATTTCAATGTCAAAACAATGCTCCCAGTTTCCCAGATTGTCAAAACATTTCTTACCTTTGTCTTGGCAGGCTGATGAGTGGTTGTTTATGACACCTCTTACTAAGGCTAAAAAGCTTGTATACAATTTTCTGTGCCTTTAGGAAAAGTTGTTTCATGCTGTTCTCCAGTTGTTCATAACGACGCTGAAAATTAGAATCCATTGTCCACAAATGCATTATGGTAGATGTGTTGAGGAAATAATTCATGGGAAGCCTTTTCATAAAGAATTTGAATTCATCTAGAAAAATGGTTAAAAAATAAACACTTTAATGATGAAATCATTATTTTTTCTAGTAAATAATCTTCTTAGATGTGAATAGAAAACAATCATTTGATTTCACTGTTGAGTATGGATTATCTAGAATAATGGGAATGTAAAAATAGTAACACCAAATATAATCCCATAGTTTTTTATATATACCTCAGAATGGATCTATGAGAGCAGAAGAGATGTCAAATAGCATATGAAAAAGAAAACACTTGTGCCAAAAAATAATTTCATGTGACTTCATTTTTGTGTACCCTATTTTCATGATATGAATGTATTTGAATAAACTCTCTTATACATGCAAAGATCATTCATCTGTCTTCCATATCCCATATAGACATTAACAATCCTTTTAAAATGCTTTCATAGTCATAAAATTATTTTGGAATTTTTTTTTTCAAATTAGTGCAGGAAACATGGTCATTTCAATAGTATTTTATCTTCAACATTTTTGGAATAAAAGCAGGAAAATTTATCCAGTAAGGAATATAAGTATTCTTTTCAATCAATCTCCCAAAGTGCCATGATACAAAATAATTTTAAATAGAAATTATTTCTATAGTAATATATGGAAAAACAAATTTTAGAAAGATTTTTCATCTTCTAATTTTTGTCAACTCTTATCTAGTCTAATTGGCCACTGGGCAAGTGGTTGACTGTCTGATAAACTGTAGGAATACAAAGGAATGGTACAATTAAAAAAATAAATAAGACTATAAGAATGATGAGTTTAGAAAAGACTTGAGATTTCTAAGATTTAATGTATACTGCCGTATAATATTTTCATAAGAAATAAATGGCTATGACATTCCTAAATGTTCTTTTTTAAAATTTTTATTTTTCTAAAACTTCAATACACAATAAGAAAAGAAAAAGAAACACACTTAAATATTAAAAGTTAAATACAAAATGAAAAATGAAAAAAAAACATCCTGTACACAGCAGAATGTAAGAGAGGATTCAAAACATAGCCATAAATGTCCATTTCAAGAAAGTCTATGTAATAAATACTCCACTTTGTGTTGAGAGCTATCCATCTTTTCTTTGCTTCCTTGTAAATTTTCTTTTGTTCTTTGCTGTGCACTTTGTACTTTGTTCTTTATCCCCCCTTACTCCCTGCCCCCCAGAAGGCTATAATTTAGCATGGATTTAAAAGTTCTTAACAGAGGTTCACTCTCTTTTAAGATAATGAGACTGTGCCTTATCAGCACATACATTCAGAATTGTTTTTAAAATATGGAAAAATAATAAAAAAATTATTAGAAAGACTCTTAGCAGATTTTCTAACACAACATAGTTATCATACCATTAGTCAGGTATGTAGCAATTTTGTAAACACTGTATATATGAATTCAAGTTTGGGGAGAAGAATTTTAACAGCTGAATTCAGTAAATATTGGGTATAATAGACAAAACTTTCAAACAATAACCAGAAAATCAGAGCTCAAGTAACTGCTCTGCCACTAAAATGGGTTTACGATTTTGAAAATACCCCCTAATCTCTAAGATGCAGTTTCTTCATCTATAAAATAAGTGGCTGAACCTATACAAGAGAGAGAGATCTCTTTTATCCATCAAATTCTTTCATTTAATAAGACAGTTATTTTTAAACTGGTTAACAATCAACTAATAACTGGTAAGTGATTGTTTAATCAGGATGAAAATGATAACAACTTGACATCAATAATAGTTGTGCCTTACATATACATAATACTTTACAGGATTCAAAGCATTTTCACACATGTTAAAACATGAATATATTTTACGCTTTTTGCTTTTAAATCATAGTAATTTATAGATATCTTCCTGATTTCCCCCTGAAACACTAACATCTAGTAAACTTTTCTTGAAAAACAGTTAAGTAAAACCCACCAACACAAATGCTTTCACGTGACAGGTAATACTCCATACTTTACTTCTATACCCACCACAGCTAGCATCTGTAGAACACTTTAAGATCTCAAAACACTTTACAAATACTCATTTTTTCTTCACAACAACCCACCTACCTGGGAGGTAGGTGGTGTTATAATATATTATTACTTGTTGGGTGCGAGGTGAAACATTAGAATTGTTTTTATTAGCATTTTTATATTAGTTATTTGGAGTAGTCTTTCATACACTTATTAAAGCTTACAATTCTTCTTCAGAAAAGTCTTTTCATATCCTTTGACCACCTTCAGCTAGTTAGATAATTGACTGATCCCATGATAGCCTGCTGCTTTCTGTAATAGCAGTAAGCAAGGGAAGAAGCCAAGGACTGCTGAATTTAGAACATGAGGAATACTTTGAAACAGTTGGTGCTCTCTTGGGGCTGCCAAATTTCAGCTAAATTATCAGAAGTCACCACGTCAAGAATGCCATCCAAGTGGAACTGAAAATCAGAAGGGTTATTGTTATTTCCTCTTGACTTCAAGTAGTTATCACCCATACTACTTGTAACATTTGTTTAGGGGAAAAATATTATCTATACTCTACCCCCAAAACATTAATAATGGACTGATGAAATTTAAGTCATTTTAAGGAGACTATATCTTCTTGATTTTGTTATTTTTATTCATAACCTTGAAAATATCACTATTTTACCTTCTTTATTATTGTCTTTCTATTTAAGTTTGATTTAACTAATTAGAGCCAACAGTTAAATATTATATAAATCAAGATGCATTTATTAATGGCCTACTAGAGGTTAGGTACTATGGTAAGGTGCTAGATACAAAGAAAGATAAAAATTGTTCCTTCCCTCAAGGAACTCACATTCTTTTTTTCATATATTTTAATTTTTTCTCAATTGCATGTAAAAACAATTTTTATCATCATTTTGTTAAACTTTTGAATTCTAAATTCTCTCCTTCCCTTTCTTTCCTACCTCCTCCCTGAGAAAGTAAGCAATTTGATATGTTACACATATGCAATCATGCAAAACATATTTCCCATATTAGTCATGCATTAGAACATGTTGTCATGTTCAAAAATAGTCAAAACAATTTTTTTTAAGTTAAAAAAAAAGCATGCTTTGATTTGCATTCAGATTCTATCAGGTCATTCTATGGAGGTGGATAGCATTTTTCACCGTAAAAAAGGAACTTATATTCTAATTCATTCATTAACATGCACATTATAATAGTAACAGCATCTGTATAAAACTTTAAAGTCTTAAAACACTTTACAAATGCCTCATTTTTTCTTCACAACAACCCACCTACCTGGGAGATAGGTGGTACTATATTATTATTTAATATTTGTATATATACACACATATGCAATATGTAATTACTGAACAAACAATATAATATATATGTAATATTTAGTGGCTAAACATACAATATGTAATGAGGCCAAGTCAATTTCATTGTAGTTAGTCGTTACTTGGAGGCAGTGTCTCCCTTCAGTGAAAGATTGCTGAATTTGAAATCACAGGACCTCAGGTAGAATCCTTCTGCTATTTACTAACTACATGTCTTAAACAAAGTTAATTAACCTTTACAGGGCTCAGTTGTTCACCTAAAAAATGAGGAGAGTGGACTTAATAGACATCAACTTCCCTTTCAGTCCTTCAACTATGATCCTGTAATGTTCCTAGCTTTTGAGCTAAGATATCTAAAAAAGGTACACATCTCAGGGTTTCTATATGTTATATTCTGTTTTATTGGTTGCTTATGTAGGATGGAGTCCTTCTTTGCAAATTCCTGGTTTCTACTGAGAATAGCTCCAGGGACCACACCAGAGAGATGCATGCCCAAGCAGTACACCAGTCAGTTGGATAGAAAGAACCTATATGAACAACATAGCATGATGGGTGGAGTCCAGGCACCAGGGCTGGGGAACCTGCAGCCTAGAGGTCACATGTGGTGCATTAGGTCCTCAAGTGCCGCCCTTTAACTGAATCCAAACTTCACAGAACACATCCCCTTAATAAAAGGATTTGTTCTATAAAACTTGGATTCAGTCAAAAAGCCACACCCAAGGACATAGAAGGACACATAGGGCCTCGAGGCTACAGGTTTCCCACCCCTGTCCTATGTTTTCCTTCTGTCATTTACATGGACATCTTTGGTTTAGAAGCGGCATCTGAGTAACACTTAGAAAGGTTGGCATCATTACCACCTGGAGAAGAAAATCCATTTGAGAGGTATCAGGACTTGGGAACTTAAGTGAATGCTGGTGAGACATTTCCTTCCCTGTCTACTGGAACTAATTATAAGGACCATGGAACCATTCACTCAAACAAACAAAACAGAAAAACAAAAGCAAACAGAAACAACTTTGAGGCACGTCCAATTAGAGCTGATGATATCTGGGCCAGATACTTTGAAATCTCCTCAGCCATGTGTGATACTCCTGGGTACAGCAGTTCCCTTGGCAAAAGTAAAGGTATGAACTGATTTGGGAGTTCAAACCTCATTAATATGGCAATGAGCCAGTCACTCCTAGACACTAGGGAGGTTCAATACTGTGCTTTTTATCTTTCTATGTCCTACAGTAAATGTGCTCTAAATTATAATGTGAGTTTTGTTTCCTTTCAGATCATTCAAAACTGGGAAAGATCTAAGAATCTTAATGGGAAGTGAGAGGTGAGCAATATTTGGAGATTTTCCCAGAATTCTGGAAGGGGGAATAATGACCCAATTTATGAAATAATAAATGTGAATTTAAACCCTAGACCATATTGAAAGGAACTTGGGTCAAAGAGAAGGGCAGATGCTTCTTCTGCATATAGGAAAATAATGTTGAAATATCTATACTTACAGAATCAACTCCATACATGTGGAAGGTATTTAAGCAATATTCTGCCTCTATACACCAGGACACCATGGACCCTCTATTTCATAATTTAAAAAGTTAATTTCCTTCTATAACTTAATTTTGAATTCCCCATTCTGGACACTAAAGAATAGTAAAACAGTGGTGCCTGGGTGATAGAACAAATGGGCATTAAGTGTGTAAAGAACAGCAAAGAAAGTTAATTT